CACATCTGTTTCCCTCCTGGAGTGAGAGTAGCTACCAGTGTAGCTTGGTTGACATAAGCTATGACAGCTGGAGCAAGTTTCCCTGCCCAGCAAATAGGTTGTGTTTGTCCTCTTTCTCCTGTCCTTATAGCCTCAAATCTGGAGTTACCCCTTCTCCTGTTCTGTTTCCCAGTAACTCTGGAACTGCCAGAACGCACCACCCCCATTCTTCCAAAAGGGTCCAGCCCAGGACACAGTTTGGAGTACTTGGCAGCAATATGAAGTTTGATGAGGATAATTTTATTTTATTTTTTTTTCAGATAGTTGAGTGTATTTGATGATGAGCCAGCAGAGCCTGGAGCACTCAGTGTTTGTTCACAAGCTGAGACACAAAGTCTGTCTCAGGGCTGAGCATGTGGGACCTTGTAGTCCCACGCCAACAGACACCTTCATTGCCTTTCACCCTCTTTACTCTTTCCGTCTTTGCCGCCCTCCTCTGTCATGCTTTTGTACCTCACAAAGACACTGTGACTGCAACTACAAGTGTTTCTTATAAATGCTGCAGTTGGTTGCAGTTAACCACCTGGGACAAGCAGCCTGTTTCCACAACACGCTTCCTATAACTGTAGCTATTTTGAGTCACAAACACGTGTTTCCTTTTTCCATCGTCACTTACATGTATTTCTCTCCCTCCTTCATTTTGATTTTGACTGTCCTTCATCCACACGCTCCTTTCAGATCTCCTTTCTTCTTCTAACTTGACTGCCCATGGCCCCTCTCTGCCCCTCTCTGTCCTCCTCTGAAGCAGCAGCTGCTCTCCAGCACGTGTCCTAGGTCCTTTCTGGACGTGGCTCCTCCTGCCCCCAGGCCACATTCTTTCTATATATCTTACCCCCATAACTATTATCCCAGTGATAAATTCCTTTTTCTCATACCTCACTTCCAACTTGTTTTGTCTGGGATAGAGTTAATTTTCTGCATAGTAGCTCATATCATGCTATGCTTTGGATTTGGAAAACAGTGCAGATAACACACCGCCGTTTTTGTTGTTTCTGGACAGTACTTATACAGAGTCAAGGTCTCTTCTGTTTCTGAAACTGCCCTGCTAGTGAGGAAGTGGGGTGCACAAGAAGCTGGGAGGGGACACAGCCAGGACAGTTGACCCCAGCTGACCGAAGGGGTATTCCAAGCCATATGAAGTTGTGCTCAGCAGTAAAATCTAGAGGGGGGTGAAGAGTTTGCCTGGGCTGCTGTTGCTCAGGAACTGGCTGGGCATCATTTGGCTGGTGGTAACCAATTGTGTTTCACATCACTTTTTTCCTTCCTTGGTTTTGTTTTCTTTTGTTTCCTTTATTTTTTATTTTTATTTAACCTATTAAACTGTCTTAACTGTGCTCATCTTGGCCCAGGACTTATCTAACTTCTGCTCTTCCAATTCTCCTCCTTCACCCTGCTGGAGGAGGCAGTGAAGTGTGCAGCTGCGTGGTGCTTAGCTGCCTGCCATGTTTAACCCACAACAGACTTGCCATCTCCTTGACTGTAAACAACCTGGAAATTCCTTATGGGCATTTTTATTCCTTTAAAACTACAGCCAGTGGCATACCCAGTTCCAAAGAGATACGGGCTTGCCCATCCCTTGATCTGTACATCAATATTCTCTACCCTGTGATCTTCAGTGCTTGTCCTTTCTAGCTCCAAGCAACTCAGAAAACACCACTTTTGCTGCTTCCCAAAGGAGACTGATTCAGGCAAGGATTTTGCCTGGGATGTACAATGTATATTTTTCTTTGCCCTGTTTAATCACTTAACTCTTACTCTTCTTATCACTATCACCCAAAACAATTTCCATGTTAGCAACCTGCTAGTGTGTTGTACCCCTTTATTCACCATGAAATAGTGGTGGTGTTTACACTGCAATAGCTTGTATCTCACTGGCAGTTTTCCACTTCTGCGTGTGGATGATGAGCAGTTGCCCACAGCAATATAAAATATTCTCTCAGTAAAATGCATTGTGATTCTTTCTGCAGGGGCTGTTATAGTCTATCCACACAAATTATATTCTGTTGTCTCCTGCTGCTTCTTATTCTTTGCTTCAATATCTGGCCTATATTCTCATGACTCTGGGTCATTTCCTCAGGGCTGGAGCAGAAAGCCTCCACACTCCTGCACTTTCCTTTCCCGTTCATTGAATAGAGAAGGGGAACAATGACTTTGTGCTATTTTAAGGTCCTGTGATAGGTTTAAATCCCCCTTCCCATCAGCATCACTCACTATTAGGTGTGTAGACAGGCCGCAGTCACTCATGGTGTACAGGTTTCAGCCTGAGATGCAACTCGTGTGCTCCCTCCGTCATTCTGGTGCCTCCCCTGCTGGTATGGGGCTGATCCCCCCCACAGGCCTGTGCCACGCTGTCATGTTCTGACCACCAGTGTGCCAGAGGAGGCTATGGGGGCTCACCGCAGCTCAGCGGCAGGGCAGACACTTCCCTGTACAGGTATGTAAGGAGTTTAGCCCAGATCTGACACACATGCATTAAACTCAATCAATAGGAGCCTAAGTGGCAAATGCAGTCGGCCGAAATGCCACTTCAGGTCCTGTGACTCGTGTTTTGTGCCGGCTGGCTCAACGCCCTCGAGGCCCCTCTCCAGCCGACCTCAAGCTGATGCTCTGTGTGTCTGGCCTCCTGCCCACTGGCACACAGCTACCTCATGAGGTACCTAATCACTTAGGGAGGCATGGACCAGTGATGGTCAGCATACACATGCCCATGGCCTGGACTGCAGACCTATGGGACCTGTCTTGGTAACAACCAACACTGTATTCCTGCCCTTCCAGGTGTGCTGGGAGGAGGACTGTGAGCAGCAGGTATCTTCAAGTGGCATACGCCCAAATGTGTGGGAGGTATTTAGCACAACAGCAGGGTTGTAAACAGCATGGGTTCCTGTGTACCAGAGGAAGGAGGACACCTTCTGCAGCCTTTGCAGTTCCTTTGTGGCCAACGTGCAGCTGCCTGCGGCTTTGTCACCAGTGCCACCTACACCTGGGTTCAGATGGGAGGTTCTCCAGAGTGGACAGCAAATATACAAAATCCAAAAGAAATGTATACTTGGGGACCCAGACTGCTTTTGTCTTGCCACTTGTAGAGCACTTTATGACAGCTACCTGATGTTGAGCTGGATGGCCACGAAGATTTTTCTGCTGCTGGATTTGAATTTAATTCTCTTCTAGGTGTGACAGTGAAGAATTAAACACATTCTTTAGCACTTTCACACCCCAACAGTTTCAAAGCTCTCAGTAAGGTAGGGCCTCCTATCATGTGGTTGTCTGGTCAGCTGCTTTGGAGGAGTTAGGACTGAAAGAGCTGCAGGCTGTAGTCATAGTTGGGGTTTGTGGTGTGATTTTATCTCAGCGTTGTTGTGATTACATTTTAAAGGTAAACTTTCGCTACCCTTGAGTTGACAGTATAACACGAGGGGAACTTTCCCCTACAGAAACAGCCCCTGAAGCTGTGAGGCATTCCTGCAGATAAGCGAGAACTGAAATGGCATGCTGAAAACTGCAAAGGCAGGTCTAACAGCACAGCCCAGGCCTGGACTTCCAGAAACACTGAAGTGTCTTAGGACACCCATGCTGCTGTCAGCTGCCAGCTCACATGAAGCACTTTGAAAATCTTGTGTTTTTTTCAAGTGTTTTTGAGCCAGGCTTTGGTTTGCAGCTCCTACTAGTGGTTAACTGAAAATACACTTAGACAGCTCAGGCCTTGACAGATTTGGAGGAATAAAGTCAATGAAATGACATCTTTCTTAAACATGCAACTAAATTTCCTCTTTTTTGTGTATGTCATGTTCACAGAGGTTACTGTGCTGGGAATAAAATGCTCTGTCCACGCATGCGAAAGCTGAAAGAAGCACAGCATAGCAATACTGTGCTCTACCACGCTCAGGGCATGGTCCTACGGATGCCAGGACAAAGCTAAGGAAAGCTGGACACGCTGCAGCCCTGTGTCACACTTTGCCAAGTGACCAGTTTTGTGAGGGGTTTTGTCCCGTTTGCTAGGAGGTGATTCCAAGAGCTGACATGGGCGATGTGTGAAGTGTAAAACCCCTCCTGGGCTTCGTGGAGGAGCCGAGGCCCCTGCTGCAGGACAGAGGAGCTACGAGGGCGTGCACAGGAGTGTGTCAGAGCCCCATGCGCCGTGAGCCCCAGCCCCAGCGCCAGCCCGGGCTGTGAAGCCCTCGGGCAGCCGCCGGCCTTTTCCCGCCCCGCCGCCACGGGCCCGCACGGGGGCGCCGCCGCTCCGCGCTGCCTCACGGCCCGGCACGGCCCCGCCGCCTCAGGGCAGCCGCGCCTCAGGGGCCGCCCGCGGACACAGCGTTAGTGTGGAGAGATTTGGGGGTTCCTCATTTTTAACGTTTCTGACACGAGGCGTGCAGGTCAGAGCAGGGCTCCGTGTTTTCGGTGTCACGGCGGAGGGGGAGGCTCTGCCTTCTGAGCGGGCGTTGCGCAGTTGTCAGGCTGCACCCGCTAATTTGATGAGAAGGAGCAAGCCGTGAAAACAATCAGCCCCTCCAGCAGGCCGGGAAAGGCCTGGAGGCAAAGGAGTCTAAAAAAAAGTCACTTTTTTCGTCACGGCATCGTGTCTCCTTCAGGGTGTTACCAGCCCCCCCTCAGGGGGCGGAGGCCAGCGGGTGCCAGCCGAAGGTCCCGCTGCCTGCTCAGTCACTCAGCATTGCCCACAGCCAGGCTTCAGGAGGACAGGTTCCCCCTTCCATGAGCAACCTACCGAGTCTAGTTTTGTTGGTGAACATGCTGAAATCAGAGTTGTCTCTAGATAAAACATACGCTTAGTCATGCTCAGCAGACCCTGTATAACCATACAGGGTCTGGAAACATCCGTCACACAAAACGTGGTAAAAGCAGTGTGTGGTACTGGCTTGCACATGTTAAACTGGAAAAGAGGACGAAATTCTCACAGTTCATTGCATCCTCAAGAGAACGAGGAAGAAAATCATGCTAATACCTTCCTCTGGCATTGACCAGGGAAACACAGAAACAAACTGCAAAGGTGTGGCTCGTTAAGACCTGGAGACATTATAATGAAGAGAAAAGGAGGGCAGGTATGCCTCCAAGGAGATTGAAGGAACTCCTCCAGGGATCAGTCAGAGCTCAGTTTGCTGCCACTCAGAAAGTCACTGAGTTAACCCACATTAAGCTTGGGAGCAAAAACCTATCTGCAAGAATGGCAGGAGGGGAGTTGTCCATAAGCCTTTCTGATGTGTTTGCTGTTTGTCTCAGGCTACTTTTAATCCAGTGCAGTATGTCGTCTTTTTCTGTGCTTAAAAGGCTTGATGTTCTTTGGGAACTCACTCAGGGAAGGCTCTACGTATTCCTCTCACAGACAGCTTGGTTGCTCTCACCACCAAAAAAAAAAAAAAAAAAAAAAAAAGTAAAAATTAGAACAACAGTGAATAAAACATAGAAACAAGATATATGTGTTCTCTAGAGAACATAAGTGATTGAAATGACTACTTCAGAACATCACTTTAACCACATGGATGATATTACAGATCACCATAGTATATTCTGGTGAATTGGCCTTTGCCATGTAGCCATGTAAAGACTCAGATTTCCTAATTGAAGTTCCAACCTTTGTGCACCTCGGAATGCTCCTGGGAAACAGGCGTAGCTACTTCGTAAGTTGTACAATGTCTTCATTGCTGAACATTCAAGAAAATGGCATTCTTTTTCATTTGGATGGCCCTCCACATCTCCATATTACCATGTCGAAATCAGCTTCATTTTCGTGAATTTCACCCTGAGAGTGCAAGAAGAAAAAAAAAACTGGTGTGTGTGCATGTTACAAAGGTTCATAGGGCCAAGACAGAGCACTCACAGCAAAAGCTACGAGCTCTGAAGCTGCCCAGCTCCATTCTTGGTCGGCTGTCCTTCTGTGTTTAGCTCTATTGGACACTTAATACAGTTCAGGGTGGACCACCCAGGTTCTCAGGGTAAGTCCTAATTGAGCTCTGCTCAGCCTAAGCTATTGCCAGCTCCTGTTGCTATTACTCTTAAATTGGCCCAGGGAGTTGTAGACTCGTCGCATAGAAATGTGCAGCTCCCTGCTTGCTGGCAAACTTTAAGAAACAGGCTTTTCACTGTTGGTCTCTTTGATCTCAGCTCAGTGGTTAGTGGTCATTAAAAGTGAAAGTCTGCTGGGGGAGGGGGGGCTTTTGTTATTCTAGCCAAAGTGCTTCCTCTGTTTTGGGTCTGTAGCCTCATGCAGTTCTGACTGAGCCACAGCAAAGCAGACCCAAATCCAAGGAGAGGTCAAGCAGTCTGCTGGAACCTCTTGCAGCATGATGAAGCTGGGAAAATAGGAGTGTCCGTATTGTTCATGTGGATTTTCTGTGTCCTTGGTCAGCTGAGTTACAAAGACATAAACCCAAGAAAAGTCCTTGACCTGCAATTTTTTTTTTTTTGGTTGTGGGTCTTTCAGGAGCTATCCTGAAAGATTACTATGTGTTTTTCCTGTTCTTACATTTGTCACTAAGCATCTGCTTCTGGACGCTTACCTGAGAGACAAGACAGTTGACTTGCTGTATTGTTGTTCTTACTTTCGTGAATTGTTTAGATGACTATCAGAACAGGTAAAAGTTAGTGTTTCTCTGCTCTTGCTCTGTTGATATTAGTGTCAAAAATTATTGTTACATTATTGTCTGTATATTATATATATATACACATATATATAATATTATTATATAGTATATATATTATTATATATTATTATATATATATATATATTATATATGTGTATATATATATACATATATATTATATGTCTACGAATATTGCTATTCATAGCAGTGTTCCTGAGCCTAAACTTAATTCCTCAGGTATCTCCTACTGGCTGGAAGCTGCCTTGGTTTGCAGCCAGGCCAAGAATGGGGCTATGGCTCTTCAGATAGCCATGGAAAAATCAGTGTGAAACTTTCAGTTTTCTCTTCATAGATCAGTTTATAGATCAGCTACTAATCCTGTTGCTTCAGGTGACCACTGAAAAGTCACACACACACATCCTCTCTCCCTTTAACCAACCGCTTGCCCTGTTCGTTTGCTAGAATTATTTCTGCTTGTATGGTCTGCGCTATGCTACGCTAGCAGCAGGGGCATCGTCTGGCTGTTGGGAAGCTGTTAGTGGCAAAGTTGTGTGTGCAACATACTGCAAAGATCAGCATCACAGCTGATGTTGTTCTTGTTGGCTGGACTGTCCTTGTTTTGGTGAAAGTTTCCCTGGAGGTGCTGCCATGTACCTCTTCAAAGGTGTTCTTGGATGTGACTATATACTCACTGGCTCACCCAGGTCTTTCTTACACTTACCCCTTCACCTGATGTTGGGGGGGGAGTGCCCCTGTTGCGGCCCAGGAGTACATAACCATTGCTCATTTTGTTGGTGTTCCCAATACAACAAGAAGTGTACAAATGTACTACTTTCTATGCTAGGGTTTATACTCTACCTGCAATCCACAAAACATGGGATTCATTAGTTATCAAGTCATTAATTCCTATTATATTGATTCAGGCATTAAGGTCTGTGGGCCATTTGTTTCTTTCCTTCTGTGCTAAGTAGGGACAACTAAGAACAAAGCAGTAGCAAAAAAAAAAAAAAGGAAAAAAAAAAAGCCAGTCACTTCACTTCTCTTTGGGTTGCTGTGGTTACGCTATGTTTGGTACTGACATCAGTGAGGACTCTCTAATGCTTGCGTGATGGACTGTTTTGGGTGCCCTTTTGCTTGAAGAAAAAAAAAAAAAAGTAGCCGAAGAGGAAAAAATTAAGTTCTCCATTTGCATCTTTCCTTCTAGTCATGTTTTCATAACAGGGTGAGTAGTGTTAGTGGTTTTCTGAGGAGCAAGTGGTGATTTTTTTAATATGCTTTACATACATGCTTTTTTATAATACAGCTACAAATCAGTTGATATGGAAACATAACTATTTTTCCACTAAGAAAAGAAACCATTCATTGTTTCCAAAGCTTTGAAAACTACCTCGAATAGCACCTTTTTTCTATCTAGGTTTTTCTGCCAATTTCAAGGCCATTTAAGGTTTTTCAAGTTCTTCCATTTCTTATGTAATGCAATGAACAAATCAGAACAGAATCAGAACAACCAGAACATTGATCATCTTTGCTTACCTGGACTCAAGTTCACAAGGTTTCAAAAAGTGGCTGAATGAATCCATGTAAAAGAAATCCCTCAAGGTTGTTGAACATACAGATACCAAACTTTGACATTCCTAAGCTGCTGGTGAGGGAAGGCTTGGACAGTATTTTGTGGAAATTTCATAGCATATTTTCCATGTTGTTATTCTCTTCCCAGATACAGTTCTTGGTCACTGCTGAGGGTTGGATAGTAGAAAGAGTACATCATTTGTCTGACCTTCTGTGGACTCAGTTATGTTCTTATGCTCTCATCGTTGCTGACTAGGATAGCAAATTGCAATTTGATTTGCTAAATGGCATCAAAGCCTGAAAAATGCAGTGTGCTCCACATCATTTGAAGATCATGGCACTGCAGTGCCTTTCAGATGGGCTTACTGCTTTGCAGGAAAAAGATAGTGCTTTTGGGTGATTGTGTAGGTCAAAAAGTCCAGTTCTCTGACCAACCTGCCATTTCCCTTACAGAGCAGTTAGCTCATCTGTGAAGCACATCTCCTGCAACACAGCCAGCGGTGGGAGCAGTTGGATGTACTCAGTACAGACAGAGGAAGCAATCAGCTTTGAAAGAAGAGCTCCACAAGCAGCCTGCAGACTGTGTGCTTAAAGTGAGTTAAATGTCATCTCTTCTAACAGGTTAACTGCTTAATTACACACCCAAGATGTCATTTGCTTTGTGTCACATCTGAGTTATATGCATGCAAATACATATGTGTATACACTTTTATGTGTGGATGTCTAAAGGAAAGCAATTTGCATCAACTAGTATTGTCATGAATTCCCAAACAGAAATCTAAGGAGTGAGAATACAAGTACAAAAACATTTGATTTACAGATATTCCAGTGAGGAGAGAGTATATCAGTGAAACTGCAGCAGTTCAAGCAGATGCTGCTGTGGAAACCCAACATGGTTCATTATTTTCATTAGTAGTTTCACATATATGTCAAGCATAGGCCATTCCTGATTTCACAGAGACTGGGACTGTTTAACCTGAAGAAGGGAAGGCTCAGGAGGCATCTTGTTAGTGTATATAAATACTTGGGGTAGTGATAAAGAGGATGGAGCTAGACTCTTGGTGCTCAGTGACAGGACAAGAAGCAGTCCAAAAAAATCCATTTAAATGTCAGAACAGTTTTACTGGGGGTAGTCAAACACTGGATCAGGTTGCCCAGAGAGGTTGTGGAGATGTTCAAAACCCAGCCAGCCATGGCCCCGAGCAGCTTGCTCCAGCTGACCCAGCTTTGAGCAGGGACCTTGGACTAGGCAATCTCCAGAGGTGCCTTCCCACCTCAGCTGTCCCATGATTCTCAATGGCTTTGTTCCAGGCATCTGAATTTTGGCATTCGTACATTCTGATGTGTCTGTATAAGTTTTAGGTTTCATCCTGACTCAGCCTTTCCAACAGAAGCAACAAAGGGGAAAGGCTATCTGCTTAACACCTAGGAATTCAGAGGTGGAAATCAGCATCTGCTTAATTGCTGCAGTGTCTTTTAAGATTATTCTATCTTCACTTCTGCCTGCTATGTCTGGTCTTGAATTAGGCCTGCAGATGCTGTAAAACAAGTACTATTTGATTAGTACTCATTTATAATGTACTGTCCTTATTATTACAAAGAAGAATATTATATAAAATATATTCAAGAGAACTGCTGATGTGTTGTCCTACCACAGAACGGAACATCTTTTGGTGTTCCCACAGCCTGTAGATTAACAGTGGCTGATTTATTTTGTGTCTATGGAAAGAAGAAAGTTTTAAAAAGATGAGTTACAGTATCTCATGCTTAAATACCTACAAACTGTACAAATAAGATGCCTGAATTCAGTATATGTGTGACTTGGAAAGAGAAAAGAAAGATTAAACATAGTATTACCAGAACAAATAAAACTCCAACCTTGATAGGTATTAACACATAAATTAATAATATGAGTTCTTCAGACCAGAGATCTTTCTTGTATGAGAAGGAACAAGGGTTACTGGTTTGGAACCTCATACAGTTTCTGCTGTCTTTAAAATCTGCTGTGCAAAGGACTTCTAAGTGTCTCAAAATTGTTGAAAACAGCAATTCTTAGTTCTGTTGCAAGATACAGATTCACAGTACTCATCACTAAATCTGCTGGTGTTCCATGTTCTAGCAGGGCAGTGTTGTCAACAACATTCAGATTTTAACAATCTTGAATAGATTTCAACAAATCAATTCTTGTGATGTCTGCTATTATACTTGCTAAGTTTCAAGATAAGAATTTCCCATTATATATCAGGGCAAAATTGCAACCATTCAGAGTTTTTCAGTAAAAATCAGGAAAGCTTGCCAGCCTTTACAGTCTCCTGCTGAAAATGCAGAGGGAGTGAGCACTCTCCTGGGATAGTCAGTGGTCTGAGCATGTTCCTGCCTTTGATGTGGGATCAGGCAAAGGAGCAGCAGCCTGCATGTCTCACTTCCCAGATGAGTACCACAACCTTCAGGCTCTTTGCATTCCTGTGTCTGGCACTGAGCAGATCTAGCTTTGACTCAAGGAAAGTTTTGTCAAAAAAGGTTTAGTTGCTGCATATGCATGCATCTGTACATATACACACACACACTTCTTAAAACAAACGATCATTCTCTGTATGAAGTTTCTGGACAACTCTAATTATGTGAAGGTGACTAATAGGACCAACTCGCCCACCACTGGAAAGTGGCAGCCACTTACTCATGCATATCCAAGTGAACAAATTAGGGCAGGAACTAAAGAGAACTCTGAATGATGTGTAAAATGGCAGGATTTGAGATTTTGCTGGAGTATTCTCTTTAAACACTTCACAATTACAAAAATGCCATGGTATCTACTGATCAAATATCATCAGAGCATCAGTTTCATGTTGAAAGAACTGAAAATAGCATTTCAGCAAAACATGAAACTATTTTCTAGCAACTAGACAGAAACTAGCACCACTTCATTTTTCAGCCAATTTATAAGTTTTATTTCAGAACAGATGCAAGACAATGTATTTATGAATAAGTGACTTTTTTCACTTTTTAAAATGAAGTGTGGGTTGAGGTAGCATGGGAAGCCTTTGGGTATGCTCAACATACAGCTGGGTGCATTTCAGATGCTTATTTCTGTATTCATATATTTTATTGTATATATTTAGTAAATTTAAATTCTAATTCTACTTTCCCACACCACCTGCTTCACATAAAACAAACTATTTCCAGCTTACTGCTCTTCCAGCTCTGATTCAGGGACAGTTTTCTACAACACTGAAACATTTTGCAAAACTTTACCCTACACAGATGCTACTATTGTATGATGAGTAATATTTTGTGATTTATTCACAAGCCATATGAACAAGCTTGTAGTCTGACTAGTTAGCTGTAAGTGTCAATTCATACTGGCCTCCCAGAAAATTAAATTCATAAAATAAAATAAAAAAAAAAATAAGTGAAATGGCAGTTGGAAAGATCCAGTTGGATCCAATTGGAAGTTTCAGAAGTTCTGTTCATCCTAATAATGAATTGAATTCAGAATCACATAATGGCAGCTATCTAATAGCATGAAAAGAAAAAAGGTTGACCAATTATTGAAAAAGAATTTTACCCTCATTACCCTCATTACACTCTAAAACGTCCTAATTAATTCAAAATGCTTTTGGCTTTATTGTAAGCTAGGAAAGGAGGATCAACACGATAGCTTTTGCTACGTTTGACCTCATCTCCATTTTGTGGTATTATTATTTGTTCTTTGAAGATTTCTCACTCAGATACATAATTTCCGTTCTTTTGCAAAAACTAGACTTATGAGAATAACTGGTTCTAAATTCACTGTCCAATCTGAAAAGAATGTGATTTTTTGACAAACTAGGAAGCTGAGAAAAAGATAGTTTTATGTCTGACAAACATTTTTCTTGCTAGAAATTCAACATGGTTAAAGTAAATTTTAAAGTGAAGCATCATTTCAAAGAAGTCAAAGTATTTCATTTTGAAATACAAACATACCTCCTTTTTCCCTACATTTTTTCTATACACACAAATTTACCAAGTCAACATAGACAAAATGTTTTATGTGAGCTGCTTATCAGTGGAAAAGGGTATTCAGTTGAAATACTTCATCTGTCTGGAGCAGACGTGGGTGCTGAGTGTTTCTGTTCTGCATGTTGGAAAATAACACCAACAACATCTATGTTGCCACACCTAAACTGGTGTTTTATGGGGGAGAACCATTTAAAAAGGCACTGCATTTAGAGATGGCATTTATGTGCTGTGCACACAGGCTGACTTCCTCTCGCTTCCTCCAGACTCTTCCTCTTGAAGCCTGGCTTTCGTTCAGGTGCCATGGAGGATGTTACTCTCCTGTGCATGTCATCCACCCACTGAATAAGACACAGCCTGCATCTCCTTGTTTGTCCTCCCAACTATTTCATTGCACAAGACACTAGGAATCCGGTCCTATGGAGCATGCACCATTGAAAAATGAAAGAGGAGAAAGGAAATAGATGTCCACACTTAGCATCACGTCTGCCCTAGTTCCCGGAACCATAGAGCAAATGATTAAGGTACATTTCAGACTGAGGCCTCTGAAACCTGAAAGTGAAGCGACTTTGTCCACATCCATCAAAGAACGACTACTAGCTTGTGCTCAGGGATAGCCAAGAAATTGCTGTTTTTAGTAAAACTGGTATGGAAACCTGGACTTTCTTAATCATAGAATACAAAGTAAAAAGATGAGAAACAATAATGGAAGTTAATCTGAAAGTTACAATATAAATGATGACGTTAATGTGAAGAATCTTTACACAGGATATGCATCTGTGGTTCACATATGGGAGGGGGTAACATGAGTTTGGAAACTACTGGTGTAATTACATTATATTATTGCGCAGAGACAAGTAGAGAAAACGAACTTAAAAGATGGTTTATCTCAGTGAGAGATACTATAAAGAGCAGGCTAAGCAAAGAGTCATAAAATAAAATACGATATAATGAATTAGCTTGGTATTATAAGAGAAAGGAAAATATTATTAATTTGTGAAGCAGACAGTCATCTTTGCTACCGAATTAAAAGTGAGAGAGCTCTTATAAATGCTACCCACACGATGTAACACCTCACCAAACTCAAGTATGAAACCAACTTATTCTGCTGATTACTGCTGTTCTAGCCATCTTTCCTGCATGTAAAACATTAAGTCAGCCAGTTATGAAGCTATTGAATGTTTCCAGAGTGTCACTTACCAGAAGGATTTAATAACTTACAGAGAAATGAACTGTTTTGCTTTCTGATCTTGATTAAGTGCTGCTAGCATACCACAATTTATAACAGTTTCAAATGTGGGTTATTTTTAGTTCTTTTCCCCCCCCCCAATTATTTCTACAATTTTTGACCAGTTGATTGCATCTAAGTTTTTAATCTGTATGACACAAATAAGTTAGAGCAGGTCTTGTGTTTCCGTAGTACTGCCTGGCACAGTTTCTAGCATAGGCAAAGAGACAGCCTATTTTTAGTCACCTATTTGTTCTATTTGTTTGGGTTCAAATTAAGTGAAAAGATGACACTAGCAGGAACTAGAGACTTCGTCTAGCAGGTAAGAATACAGACTCTGAAAACATATAAGAAAAAGCAGTCTTATCAGAGCTCCTACAGAGCTTCAAACAGCTCAGCTTTCCCCAAACAGCTGTACATGAAGAGCAGTGTGGCTCTGTAGTGTGACTGAAGGCCAACAGAGACCAAGGAGAATTTTCATAGAAAAGGAGTTTGAAATATTTCTTATAGTTCGTGATGACGCAAGTGCCCAGCACAAAGTACTATGGAAGTCACTACATGCCCCTCAAACTTTGGAAAGAGACTTTGCAAAAGTAAGCACTTCTGCGGGTCCCTTTCATTGCTAGATCAAGGAAGCTGCAAATCTCCAAGGAGAAGCTCTAAAAGGAAGCCTAAGAGCTGCCTAACAAGTAGTAAGTTAACAGTAACCCATTCCATGAAGAGCAGCATTCATTTACTTCCTGTGCGTACTGAGTTGTAGAAGTCTTTGGAGACTGGCCACTCACTTCGTACCTTGAAAGAAGCCTGGAGTATTTGCTAGGTGTAGCTATTTTTATTTATATAAAAAGAGCAATCCTATGTATTACATGCAAACAGGAATCCTTTCTTTCAAGAGCTCTCAGCCCAAACATTAATGTCCAGTTCTAACAGAAAACCCACATCCTGGGCACTGATGCTGGCCAGGAAGAACAAGACATCCTGCTGCTTGCTCCAGCTTTCAACACAAGCTGCTGCATCACAGGGCAGAGCATGAATGCTGATAAACTCCACCCACAGCACAACACAGTCCAACCAGATGTTACCCGGTAATTCAAGCTCTCCCCGTTGTATCACATAACCTCTTACAGGAGGTGTTCTTCTCAAAGTCCCACCTACTGGAATCATGTAATTAATTATGTGAGAAATTTTGTTTTCCTTAAAAACAAGTGCTTGCCTACTGTTGAAAACAAAACAAAACAACAAAACAAAACAAAACAAGAAACCAAACAAAAAAACTAACAAACTAATCCAGAAGGCATCCAATAAGGAAAGAATTTTTTTTTTATTTTTTTTAATAAAAGTCATGACCCTCTGGTTGCTTGATATATGGTTTCAGATTTCTGCCATGCTTTTCCCTCACTCTGGCAGGACAGCTCTGTGCAATTGCAGCTGCCCAGTTGCTGTCTGTGATACCAAAGATGACTCTAATGGCTGCTCTTTGTGTAAAGAGTTTGTAATGAAAATAAAGAACCCTCAGTATGCTACTTTTCATTTTGAACAGTCAATTGCTTCATAATTAGTAAGATATGATTTTTTATTATCAATTTTATTGCAAATAAAGAAGTACTACATAGCATGTTTGCAAGAAAATTGTATGCCAATAAATATTATAAGAGAGTTCATCCATATGCTTTAGTCCTAATTTTGACTGCAATCACATATATTTGTTTTCAATTTGTAATATACTTACATTGAAAAATGTCTGTCTTACCGCTTGTGCTGCAAGAAGTTTGCCTGTAGATGCTCCTGTGAGTTAAAGTAACTTAAAATGTTCAGGACCTCATTTGTATCATGTGGATGTTTGAACAGAACTGACGTGGTGTTGTGTAGAAATGTCCCACCCCAGAGCAGAAAATGAAGCAGATCAAACTGAGCAGATTAAAGAACTACTTTTTCAAAACAACAGCCAGAAGAGAATGAAGGAGAAAAACTGTCAGTGAAGAAACTGAGAACTTTTTGTTCAACTGTAACTTCATAACCACTAAAAAACGTTCATTAAGATATAAAACCGTGTATGTGGTTAAGGCAGCTGACTTTGGAAATTGAAAGAAAACTCCATTTTAGAAGTTAAAAGAAAAAGGAAAGAAAAGTAGAAAAGTGACATTTTGAATAGTTAATAATCTTCTGTTTCATTAAAATATCTGCCAGGTCACATCAAAAGGAATTATTAATGATCCCAAATGGAGTTTTCTCCCCTATCTGAACGCTTCCTTGCTGTATCCCTCTAGCAAACAACAGGAATTTCTAAACTAATTTCAGGGGCCATTTTTACAAGTCTCCTGCCCCGACTTACTAAGATCTTGTATCAGTAGCTGTTAATTTGTTCAAACATGCCACAGTTCCTCAACATTCTTCTTTGATACGCGATGTAAAAGTGCCTTAAAATAAGACTGTTCTTTTATCAGTCACAGAAAACATTCACACAAAATGATAAAAAAGTCTCTTAAGTGCTAAATATCTTGATGTAGAAGTAGAGGAATAATCATGCACAAGTGCTCAGGAATTTGCAGTATCAACTGTACGGTGCCCTGTATTTGTGATTCTTTCCTCTTTCTCTGCAGCTCAGAAGTTTTCTGAATTTCACCTCTTCCCCACACCTTTCATCCCCATCCATAAGCCTGTACTCAAAATGACATTGCACTCCCAGGGAATGTAGAGGCTCCACAGTGAGAGAAACTAGCTTAAAGTACCGTTTATGAGTTCAAGCAAGCATGAAGTTTACAAATGTCAAAAGTAAATTGGTTTTAGTAATGCATAAAACCATCTGCTATACACCAGCCTTCTTTGGTTTGGATTTCATGACATAACTCTTGGCTACATCATCCAATTCCTATTTATGCCTCTCCTTTTAGAGGCACAGCTCTTTAGTCATGGTTCAGACTGTTCCCATCACAGGGAGGACTGAAACTTTTTTTTATTCCTCAGAGCTCTCTCCCCAGCAATAGCTTTTCTCTAGCAAAAGGAAGAAACCAGACTTATGGCCTCACCTTTAGAGACTGTTGCCTCCAAATCTCACCTCAGTTCCTTACACAAATTCTGATGCTCTTTGGAGCTGCAAAGCTTAAAGTCAGAAGACAGGAATTGTGTTAAACAAGCTAGGAGTTACCTGGACAATGGAGGTGTTTGTTACTGTAAAACTAGAAATAAGTCCCAAGCGCTTCTTGAGCAAAGTTCAGAAGTTAGGAAGAATAGAAACAGGACTGCTGTTGAATAGCTTGGGGGCCCTTGATTATATTTGTTCTAATTTAGTAAGGAAAAAATTGATGTGGAAAACAGCATGAATTGATTTTCTCTATAGATCTCAAGGCCTTACTGAGTAGCAAGTTCAGATGTGCATAGTTGTTTCCTTTTTCACAGGAAGATCTCTAATGCTAAAGTGATGGACCACTCTGCCAAATCATAGAATAGCTAGATGAGAGACTTTGTTGCATGTTTTTCTGCATCAGACAGGAATCTGGTAGTTGACAATGGTAAGGAGAAAAATTGTTCATATAAAAAAGCAGATGAAAATGAAAGTAGAATATCGGTGTGTGTGTTCATATGCCATTGCCTTTGATGCAGACAAGTATACATGTGAATGCCCAGGCAGATGCAGCCAGAAACTCACTATTTCTGTTTCTCAAACAGGCTGACGTATCTCCTGTCTGGGTAAAGGGGACATCAAAAGAGACCCTTCCTAATCCTCAACAAGCAGTGCGGTCTCATTGTTTGGCTGCCCAGGTAAGATACTCAGTTATGTTTTTGAACTCCCTGTTTTAATGAGCTCTAAATTCTTCTGAGACCAATTCCTTTGGCTTCTATGTTTCACATTCTTCCCCGAGTCAGCATTTCCTCCTTTTTACATTTTTTGGGATGTAGAGTAATATTTTTTATTGGTATTGCTGTAGTCTGAGAGAAAAGCATATCTGACTTGCATATGTCAATTTTTTTGAATGCTGATTGTGACAAGATACTCTCCAAGTATCAGGAGAAAGCACAGAGCTCAAGGTCCTGAAGGGTGGCACAGGGCATGAGCAGAATGGAAATTCCCTGAGGTTTGTGCTCTGCACTCTTCAGAGCTGCTGTATGGACCATATGGGGACAGGCATAAATAACATCTCTGCGGGCACTTGGGTTCCACTCATTTCTGTAGTGCCAGATATAAATTACGAGAGTATTATTGTCAATAGAATCTGAACTGAAATCCCACTTTGGTCTTCATTGCTACATCTGCTGTTTTGAGTGCACCCTGTACTCTGCCAGAAAATTCAAAAGAGGAACTTGGCTTTGAACAAAAATGGTAACGCATACTTGTGTAACATTCAGCTCAGGTAAAGCTGCTATAATGGTAAGAAAAGCCAGAGCAAAGTCAGCACTGCAGAAATAAGAGAAGGTTGGAAAAAGTTTGGGTTGGAAGCTACTGAGAATGAAGAGAAGTTCAGAACAGATAGAGAATATAGGCCAACTAATTTCCAATACAATAGTTAAAAAGCATCATACCAGAAATTACTTAAGTGCAGGAGCAAACATAAAATACTGCTATTGCCGTACGTGACATGATTGTTTCTGCTCAGGTGTCGCATAATCTTCGCTATTTGGGTAATTTAGCAACTTGCAGTTCTTTTAAGTCAGAATTCTCCACTGCCCATTACAGGCTGCATGTCTCAAGGAAATGCTAGTGTACTGAGAAGGATTTGTCCTGGTGGATGCAGAATGCCTAACCATGGTCAGCTTACCTGCCAGCAAAGAAAGTGATTATTATTTATACTTGAATTCTATAGTGACACAGATTCACAGCTGTGGCCAGAGGTCATGAGATTGTTGACAGAGGCCCAAAGCATCCCTTCCCCCAGGAGGGACAAATGTAGAAAATCATTTACTTGAGCTGCTTTAGATTGCTCAAGAAAAGGAAGCACTTGGTTGTAGTGCATACAAATTGTCAAGGGAGAGAAAAAGAAGAAACACTTGGTTCCTGATTAGCAATTGGACACAATTCAGGGAATATCTGAGCTATTACTTCCTGTGCTGGGAAAAAAAAAAAAAAAAGTTGACCCGAGTAATTATTCTTGCTTTGCCAGGGTAAATTTATTGGAAGATTTTACAGCTCAAACAAGTGGATGTGTGGGTCAAATCTATTTCTGCCAGTCATGGAACACATTTCTCTTAGCAGACTGCACTTGAATAGACAGAAATTTGGTCATTTTGCAGTGAGGTCAGCCATGTGAGTTTTTACCTTTTTTAATGCCCAAAACAGGCTAGTGGAAAATTAGGGAAAAACCCAGACTGTTGTCAAAATAAGAAAAAATGGCTTCAGAGAAAGCATTTGTCACCAGATGCTACTTCTACTCAATGCACTGCAATTGTAGGTCAACATTGGGAAAGCAGTTGGCACCTGCAAATGTTTGAGTTGGTAGCAAATTGAGAATGTGAATGTTTATTTGTACAGTGGGAGCTGGTGCAAGATGAATGGGGGAAGAGGGAAAAAGCTAACCAAGAGAGCAATAAGATTTGGTGTCCTGCGAGCTGCTTCTGCTGCAGGAGCAATGTAGGGGGCTCACGCAGTTACTGAGGCAAAAAGATGCATTCACAACTGTTCAACAGAGGTACATTCTGCAAAGTTTTGGGGTTGTAAGGTGAAATTTTGATCACAAAGAATTAAAACAGTAGAGCTGAGAATTCTCAAATGGTTTTAAGCTCTAAAAGCTTTGTGTGTCAGGTAGCATTAAGTGAGTGAGAGTGTCAAGGAGGTGCAAAGAAAACAGGATTTGAAACTAGAACTAGCTTTTTGTATAAACAGCTAGGGGAGATGCTACCAAAGTCGTTACTGTTACCTTCTGCAAGCAAGTAACTTTGCTGGAAGTGTAAAGGCGGCTGTTAGTGTCTGCGAACCACATCACAGTGCCTCTAACTAAACAAACAGAAGACTTGGCAGATTTTAATGGTGACCCCTGAGGAGGAGGGCTGAGAAAGTAAGTGTTGGCATGAGCACACAAGCTCCTCAGAAAGGCAAAACACAGGGTCAGAGGGGAAAGGTTCATCTTGTCATCGCTGCTTTCTAACATGTAGCCACTTCCTGTTGCTTCTGAGAATGGTGAATAAGAAATGAACTTGAATTTGGGCAAAGCTTCAAGGTTTTTATTGAATGGTACATAACTAATAAACAAGATTATACACTGTTGGTATTTTCATGGAAAATAGACTCAGATAAACACAGCAACATACTTCTGCCTTTTGGATAGATGCTAATTTAGCATTTGTAAAATGTGAGGCCCCAGCAGAGCTGGAACATCTTCCCAGCAACAGCTTAAGAGGTCTCCAGCTGGGCAGCTTTTCTCTCCAAGCACTGGCTCGGATATCATCAATGTTAACTCCAGCGCAGCACTGCTGGGACGCAATGCCAGAGAAAGGTGCTGAGATCAGGCTTTTAGAGCAGCAGTCTCATCGCTGCCAGCCTACGGTGATGCCTCTGTTGAAGCGCAAAGCACTAATGCAAGAAATGGAACCAATAAATAGCACTGCACGGAAACAAGTCAACATTCCTTTGTACATTAGTGTGCTCCTCTGCCTCCCAGACCTGTAGGATTAGCCTTGCAATGACACACGAGCTTCTGTCTTAATAGTGTTTGGATCTCAGTTGATCAGTAGATATGGCACAATTTAACAATAAGATGTTCTGCTGCAACAGCAATAGCACTTAATGCTATACATATATATATGCATATATATATAGACTACATATTGGTACAATACAACTCAAAGAATCAATGGCCTAATGTAGCCATTTTTATGTAACAGGGTTAA